CCCTCTTTGTGTGAGAGAGACAGAGGGGGAGTGAGTGAAAAATAGGGTGGGGATTCTTGCTAGGACCAATGGTTGTTTAATCTGTTTGAATGTCTTGTGTTTGTTTTCTACCTAGGTATTTGGTTAAACTGGAATGCTTACAATTTTTGTCATAGTTTTTCACATCTACCTCATGGCGGAACGGCAAATCTGTTGTTTATCTGACCTGTTTATATTATTTTGTAATCTGCGAATACTATTGTTTTTTCTCTGTTTATTTTTATTACATTGTTTCCCCACTCCGGGATTGGAAAATAATTCAGTGAAGAGCAGGTTATAAATGCTGTCAACAAATGATAAAAGAAATCAATTATGCAAGCCAAATCCCTTGAGTTAAGCCAGGGGGAGCCTGAGGCATCAGAGACCTGCAGTCCGCCACCAAGAATTTAGTGGACATTCACTGTTGCCCCCAAACAGGGGTATGGGAGGGGAAACCTGGTGGCTGCCAGCTATCATTAGACAACAACCAGCCCTGGCCAGCATGGCCAATGGTCAGGGCTGATGGGGGCTGCAGTTCAGCAGTATCTGGAAGGTCACAGGTTCCCCACCCTTGCCCCAGAATAATGGGATGAAAACAACTCCTGAGCCCCCTGCAACACAAGTTTCTCTGCACAGCACAGCACAGCACCCCCTTCAGGGCCTCAGAAGCACAGCAAGCACAAAGGGCTCTGGGGTGGAGAGAGAAGGCATGAGCTAAATGCCCTCACTGCTGTCTGCTAGCAAGCCTGTGTGGTCCCACTGCACTGGAACCAATTTGGCCTTTGCTATACACCCTACAGCTAAGCAATTTGCTCAAAGCACTTCTTGCACCAAAGACAACAGCTGCCTTCTCTCTCTCCCCTCCCCAATCCGCCCCCCATCTCCGGAGGCATTGCTTTGGCTGCAGCAGAAGCCCAGGAAAGCTACTGCAGCGTGGTGGTGAGGATGGCAGAAGCTTCTCAGCAGCAGCAGCAGCAGCAATACAACTTGGCCCCTAAACTCCCTGCTAAGCAAGCAGAGAGGGGAGAGCTAATCATCATGACAAAAGAGGCAGCGCAGGGAAGCTGGGCTGCAAAGTGCCCGTGGTGCAAGGCAACAGCTTCACTCAGTCGGAACAAGCCACTTTGCTAAAGGACCCTGCAAGGGCAAAGGGAAGAAGAAAAGCCCGTTGCCTCCTTCTCCTCTTCCCGCTGCTGCTGCTGCTGGGGACTCTTGCCACACAGCACTGCTCTGTGAAGGAAACTGCAGCTACCACTGGGTCTCAGACAAGTGGGATTGAAAGGGGGGGTGCTCTCTCTTTAGCATTCTGCCCTCCTAGTTCCTCCCACCTCCAGCTCTGATGGTGCACCTCAATTTGGGCCGGATAACCAGAGCTTTTAGAGCTCTTTACAGGCCATTCAGACCAGTATCCTGTTTCCACCGGTGGGCAGATATGGCTGCTTATACCAGCATGAAGATTAAACTCTCCATTTCCCCTTTCCCACTCCAACCTACACTGCTCACTCTAATTGTGGGTCCCACGTGCTCTTTCCCTTCTCCCAGCATCTTATGGCACTATCCTAACATCTGCTTTCTCCTATTGAAGTCAATGGGGCTTACTCCCAGTTGAGGGTTTTGATTGCATTTGGTGCTATAATTGCTGATCCCTAGAATACACAGATGATAGCTATGATGCAGGAGGGATAGCTTTCCCCTGGCTCATTTTAAAATACCACAAGCAGGAGGGATTAAAAGTTATATGGTACATCATCAGAGATGGCATGGACACTAGCCAATAGGTATTTATGACACTCATTCAACCATTTTCTCTGCACAGCATTCATCAATACAACAGGAACATTAGCTAAGAAACAAAATACTGTTGTCTTGGTTGTTGGAAAAGTATGATTCTTCAGCAACAAATGTGATAGCTGTAAGAAATATACTGTGATCCCTCAGAATAAATGAGAAATGCCTGCATGTTTATTGCAGTCAATGGCCTTTTGCAAGCATGGTTTTGTGTATTGTGTGATTCTACAACTGCACTGCATTGTAAGTAAGGAATCCAGTATTCCACATTAAATTTTGTCTCTTACAAAACTCAGGTTTCATTACAAATAAAGTTTCGGGGCCTTAGGACTGCAATGATAGACTTGAAAGTACATTGGCAAAATGTCAGGAAGCTGAGAGCCAGTGCTGCTGCAACTATGGTTTCCACAATACTGGCTACTGATACTTCAGCTGATACTGCATGCTTAGTCCACACAGCAAACTCCTCTCTCCTGCTTTAGCCCTGGTTAAGGAACTGGCCATCACTGACATTAACCCTGGTTAAGGTGAACCTCTCTCTCTTTTTAATGAGAACTTGAAACCAGAGTCTGAATCTGATTAACAAAATTGTTTAAAAGGGAACCATAGTGGCCTTAACCCTGCTTACCATGGGAGTGGGGAGAACTGACATATTCTGTAACTGTGGTTATGACAAAAGAATGTAATTTGTTTCTGGGGAGGGGACCTGCTGGGGAGGAACACATAACCACACAGCTTTCTCTTGGTCTCTTAACTGTGAGCAGGAGCTAGCAAGATATCTGCAGATCCTGAGAGAGGACTAAGCAGGATTTTAAGTCGTTGAAGGCAAAGGCTTCGTGTGGTTTTTTTCCTTTTTATGAGCACAAATTATGCAAAATAAGCAAATACATGCACATCTGCTCAATTTATTCAATTCACAGAATTCAGAACTTCACAGGCCAGAATATGGGTTTCACTGGTGCAGAACTTTCATCTTATTTTAGTTTACTGCAGTGTATGGACAGCCCTAGTAACAGATTCATGATGCCATGTTCCCCTGTTGTGTTTCACATCTACAGTCTTGGCAAAGCTTCCTCCCCCACTCTCCACCCACAAGAATATCCCTAATCCCTCCTGGCTCCGGCACACTCAGCATGGGGGCCTTGAAACATTGGGGTGCGGGAGAGACATAGGGGTCACCAGTGCTGGGAAGGTATCTTCCTCTAGCCTCAATACCAGGAACTGCAGTCATTTGGGGCAACACACAGAACATGCTTCAGATGGCTGCAAAGGCAAGCCAATTCCACTTCAAAAGCAGAAGATGTTCAGGGCCCAAAACATCCTTAAGGCTCATCCAAATGTACACCCAAACTTCACCAGAAACCCTTCACAGGAGAGCTTCTGCAGAAGATGCCAGGCCACCGACTCCCTTCCCCCTCAGATCAAAGACAGCAGAATGGGTTGCAAATCTGCTCCATGAGGAGCTTGTGAGCTGGAGGGTCCTAAAAGGTGCTGCTGGTCACCCATGCTGCTTTCCCATTGCCCTGGTGATGACATGACTGAGAAACCGGAAAGAACATTTTAAAAAATCAAGGGAGGGGGACAAGGAAGGAAAAGAGGCTGGGAGAAAAAAATAGTTTAGAAGAACTTGGTCTTATTTTACTTTATTATTGCATTCCACAGAGCTTGCGGAAGGGGGAGGCATTCCAAAGGAATTCTTCCCCCCCCCCCCGCACTCTTTCAATTCATCCTCCTGCTGAGATGGATGTGAAAACCTTACCCATCATTTCCCCAGGACAGACACACTTCTGACATTCCATCACTGACTGTTCTCCAGACAGACAGATCCTTTACTTGTACCACGGTCACCATGCTCTCCTTCAAGATATATGGTGAGATTTTACAAAGAGAAAAGAAAAGCCTGGCTTCTTACAGATGCAGAAACCAGCACCTGTCTCTGGGATACCCAAGTAACAAGTGGTGTGTCGCTGTGATGTGTCACCCCCTGCTGGCTTAGGGAGGACACAAGACACTTGGCCAGGCAGGTCCAAAGCAGGATCACTGCAGGGCCCTATATATGCCTACATTTGATTTGAGTGTGGTCTTTAGTGTGCAGTTTGATACTGGAATACAGCCACCTGGAACCTGCTTTTCAATCCTGCCTGCCTCACCCCACCTGTTATATATATCTGGGTAGCTTTCACTGTTGTTTCACCAGCAGCAGCCCTTTTGTTCAGAACCTTCCCAACAATGCAGCAGCAGCAAACTGATGGCAGCTCCCGACAGCATCATCTCTCCTGGTCCCCTGCTGGTGACATTCCCAAAGGGAGCCAGGAAAGAGAGAGCCAACAGAAGCAATAGGATAAGCGAGGTGTGTGGATAGGGTGAGACAGGCCCTTGGAGCAGCCGGCAGAAGCATCTCTCTGACTGTATAACCAATGTGCAAATCAGGCAGGAGGAGATTGGTCAGTAGCCCCCCCCCCCGCCGCCCCCAGCACCTATGTGCAGCGCTTAGACTGTGTGCGCTCTGCACCTGGCTCCTTCTGAGCAGTGGAATCGCTGAATTCAGGAGCAAGTTGCCTCCCCCCCTCCTCTTTCTGCTGTAGGAACCTGTGTGAATTTGTCAGGCGCCAAAGAGAGGTGCATTATGTGGGTGAGCTGGTGGGTGTGCAGAGATCCGAGTGCATGGTAGAGAGTGCGTGTGTGCTAAAGGGTACATAAGCCTTAAGTGGCTTGAGACGTGTGTGTGTGTGCAGTGCTCCATGTTACAGCGACTATGTCCCGCTCAGCAGCTGATGAGCACGAGGGCGCTTCTGCAGTCTGCGAGCCAGCGAACATGTCACGGTTGTGTGCGTGTGCATGCATCCAAGGGAGAGTTGGACAGAGCACGCTCGGGCAGCGGTTGCAGGGGACTTGGTGGCCCCGAGGCAAGCACGCCTGGTGGGCAGACGACTAAGCCTGTGCAGAAGAAGGGGGGGGGCGGTGAACTGAACAATCAAGGCGCGAGCCAGTTTTATGCAGCGCGCGCGGGGAAAGGACCGGGGAAAACTCGATTGGGGAGGGGGGATCCGATGTGTCTTCATGATCGCGCTGCTGCGGGTGGCGTGGGGGGCTCTTCTCGCCAGTTAACTCGGAACTCCCTCACACTACGCAGCTTTTTCGAGGTGACGCCGCCATCTCTCCCCCCCACCCCCCGCCAATGCAGCCCCGCTTACCTCCCGGTGCAGGCAGAATCGCAGGGGCAGGAAGCACGAGAAGAAGTATTTTCCCCAGCGGATCAGGGAAGCGAAGCACCAGCTCAGGCGCGTCATCGTTGCTGCTGCTGCTGCCGGGCGAGGGATCCCGCTTCGCCCCGAAGTGGGAATCCCCGTTCACACTCCAGCCCCCACCCGGAGGCGACCGAGGAGCGGGATGGGGAGTGAGGGGGGTGTCCTTCCCAGCCGGAGGAAAATGGAGAGGGGAGAGAGGGACGCGGGCAGGCGGGCGACAGCCGGGGTTGGTGCAGGCGCGTCGCGTCCCCCTTGCTTCGTCGATCGCAGCCTCTGCAGAGCCCTGCGCGCCGCGGCGCCGGCGGCGGGAGGCAAAAAGAGGGGCGAGGACCCTTCTGGGCGGCGGTGCCGGCGGGATGGATTCCCCTCGCAGCACTGACCCGCCGCACGCGGCTTCCCGACCTGCTGAGCGCTGGCGGCGGCGACACCGCCCCCCTCCTCCTCCTCCTCTCCCTCCTCCTTCTCACCTCCCGCCCCCCCGCGCCCGCCAGCTCGCGCGCCTCTCCGGCAGCGGCAAACGGTAGCGCGGACTCTCCAGCCCCGCAGTGCGCGTAGGGGCGCAGGGCGACGCGGCGCTTCCTCGACCAGCTCCCTCCAAGCCGCCGGGGAGCGCTCCGAGTTCGGGCCGCGCGCTGCTGGGGGGTGGCGACGGGGGGAGGGCGGAGACGCACGTGCCGCAGCCGCGACCCGAACCTGCCCTCACGCCCAAGCGGACCGCGAAGGACAGCGCTGCCCTGGCCTGCGTCGAGGGCTGGCCAGCGGTCCCTCCCCGCGGCGTTAACCCTAATCGATCCTGCGAGTCGCTCAGCCTTCACCTCTTGCTCCCAATCGATAATCGACGCCTTCCCCTTCGCCGTGGGAGCCTCAACGACAGAGGGGTTTTTAAGGGAGGGGAACACCATCCCTGGGTCTCGCTCCCATCCCCAAATGTTCTGCTCGTGGATGATTAAAGCGCAGCGTCTTCCCTCTCTTCTCTCCCCCCCCCTCCGCGCGCATCAAACCATCTCCATCGATGGCTGATCGACACCTCCCGCCCCCTTAGTAATGTGCCCCTCTTCGATGGGTACGTGATTTCCTTCTCCTGACCTCCCCAGTTCGTTGCCACAATCCAGTCTCTAGGTTTGCCATGCTTAATTAACCAGTTAGCAACACATCACTCTGAAGAGCTGCGTAAATGGCACTCGTGATCCTGTATCAATTAGAAGTAAGTGGGTTCTGTGCATACACATAGATGCACGCGCTTAGCCTTGATATCTGAGGGGCGCTGGGAAAGGGAGGGGGGAACGGTTTGTCAGTTCAACCCGTCGAGTCCTGGCTTTGAGGGCCATCAGAGTTGTAGGCGTGTGCTTGAAGAGGCAAGGACGCAGGAGCAGGTGGAACTCTACAAAGTCAATGCTGTAAGGCTTTAAAAAAAATGAAGTAAAATGCGGGACATCTCATTTGAGAAATTTGGAGGAGAGGGCCAATAAGAGTGGCTGCCTTCCTAAAGCTGCACACTTACGCCAAGGCAGCAGGCTCAAGGCAGTGTGCAAATGCACACATACAACCAGGGTACATCAAATCAGGCTGCATCAACACAAAGCATGCTCTGTGACAACAGTGCTATAGAAGGGTATAGCAGAACAGGAATGCAGGGACTCTACACCCAACATTGTTCCTTCCTTCTCCTGGGTCCCACCCAGATGGGCAGGGCAAGGGATCAAAAAAAGCTGAGAGTCAGCAGCACACACTGGACAGCACAAGTCAAATCCACATTGGATATCTGAAAATGGCTTAAAGCCTCAAACTACACAAGGATGTTGCAGGTTAAACACTGGTCATCACAAGGAGATTTCAAGCAACTTGTTGCTAATGCAGGCACAGATGCAGCCTGCTCTCTATAGGCTACATCCAGTTCTTTTTTCAAGAACCACGCCGCCTCATTCTGAACCAATAATGTTTCTGAATTTTCAATGAACCACCAAACGGGCTGTATAAGCTTTCAGCCCAACATTCCTCATGCACTCACGCTCTAACCAAGGATGAGAAACAATGCTGGCTTTTGGGCACATGTTGATTTGCTGCTGGCTGGAAGCTTATCTGAATCCAACTGGCTCACTTCTCCCAGTTTGGAAGCATCCCAAAAAGGAGGTCCCTGCTAATCTCGGTTGGTTCTGAGACACGTCTGGGCAGCAGAAAAGCCATGCAGACAAGAAAATGATGGTGAGGGGGAAGAGTTGGGGAAAAGAGAGACAAGGCTACAGAAGAAAGGCACAGACTTGGTAGTGCAGGTAAGTGATGAGAGACTGTGATTGGATTCAGTGATCATACATGGCTCCCCTTTTTGACAGTACTGTGTATTACTTCACTTACATCAAAATGTGGCAAGTCAGTCCTGTTGCATTTGAGAGCCCCTCCTGCTCTTTCTGCCAAGTGAGGCCCTGGACTTCTGCCCCAAAGTCCTGCCCTGGCAGCATCACAGGGCACAGACTCAATTAAGAGGACCTGATGTCATCAAATACTTGCTGTGATGGTGTTTGGCACAAAAACCAGGGCACCTCAGCAGGAATAGGACATGCATCAGTTAGGATGTACCGTTCCAGGAAAAAAAAGAGCTATTTTGCGCCATGATGGACAAGGTCAGTGATAGCCCGTGACAAGGTTCCTTCAGTAGATGCTAATTTAAGTCTTCACTGCCAACAAAGGAAAATATGGCATGGATTTGACCAAAGACACAGAAGTACAACAACAACAACAACAACAACAACAACAACAACAACAACAACAACAACCTCAGTTAAATGTAGGCCAAGTCCCAACTCCAAACCCACATTCCAAACAGCCCTCCAGTTGGAAGCCGTATAACCTGTCAAGACTAAATTTCTGTCATTGGAAGACACCAGATTTACCCACGCTGGAGGAATGGCACACGCAGTTGATGGACTACATGGAACTGGCTGAAATGACTGGCAGAATCCGAGATTTGGGAGAGGAAGCAGTGGAGGAGGACTGGAAAAAATTTAAGGACTATTTGCAAAAACAATATAAGTTGTATGAATGTTAAGAATGTGTACGATTAGGAAACTTTTGCTTCAGCAACTTGAATAGGTGAACTGGAAATTAAGTTATAAGAAAGACGAGGTGGACAACATGAAATAACTATACTATGTTTATTTTTAAGGTATAAATAACAGAGATACAGTATTTTGAACTTATTAACCTAGTATTTGAAAGATACAATAAGATATGAAACAAGGTAACAAATTGCTGATGTTTTAATTGCAAAGAACGCAGGGTTCGGAAGATGTGGGGAAGTCCGGTTGGAAAAATATTCTGGAAAGTTGGTTTCTATGTATTACTTATTTCTTGTATTTTCATTCTTTATTCTTTATTCTGTAATTCTCCGACTGTTTGAAAGAAAACTTAATAAAAATATTTTTTTTTAAAAAAAAGACTAAATTTCTGTCAGCAGGATTCCCAAAAGTCAAGTTACTTTTAAGAGTCACCCAGTCATCCTTTAAAATTAAACTAGTGTTGGATGCCATTAAAATGTTGGTTGATGAAACATAGGAAGCTTCTTTATATGGTTTCAAACAATTGGTCCATCTGAACTGTCTGGCAATGGCCCTCTAAAGTTTTGTGCAGGAGTCTTTCCCAATCCCAACCTATTAAAAAATGCCAGGTATCAAACCTGGGGTGCTGTACATGCAAAGCAGATGCTCTACCAGGGCTGCAATACCTCTTTCCATATGAATCTACCTGGACCCTGAGATCATCTTCTGAGGTCCTTCTTCATGTGTCTCCTTGAGAGGTCTGGTGGGTGGCAACACAAGAACGGGCCTTCTCTGCAGTGGCTCCCCATCCGTGGAATGCTCTCCCCAGGGAAGTTCGCCTGGTGCCTTCATTGTACACCTTTAGGCGCCAGGCAAAAACATTCCTTTTTAACCAGGCCTTTGGTTTATTTAATTGACATCCTATGCCCTTTTAAAATGTGGGGTTTTGGGGGAGGGTTACTGGGTTGTTGCTTTTATTTTGATTATGTATTTTGTGGTTTTATACTTTGATTTTATTCTGTGAACCACCCTGAGACCTCCAGGTATAGGGCAGTATATACCGTAAATTTAATAATAATAATAATAATAATAATAATAATAATAATAATAATAATAATAATATCACTGTAATGATCTCTGGGTCCCAGGCAGCATGCTGCAATACTGGCTTATAAACCTCACCAGAACCTAATGCCTATTAACAGCAGTGCAAGTTGAACTGTTGGTTCACAGCTGCAAGTTAACCTTGCAGCAAAACACAGGACTGACAGACTCTGCTGGTTAGTAGGGAAAGAGAACTGTGAGGAATTCACCGATGTACAGTTCTCCTACCAGTCACAGAAGAATGGATGGGACAACAGGTAAAAATAGGACCCACCAAGCTTTGCTAACTAGACTGTTCCAGAGGAGAGTCAACAAGTGTTAATGCCAACTTGTCTAAGAAGAGTCTACTGGGTTACACCAGTGCCCCATCTAGTCCAGCATCCTGTTCTCACAATGGCCAACCACATGCCTATGGGAAACCTGCAAGCAAGGAACCTGTTTATTAGGTTCAAAACAAACAAACTTGGTTGAACGGACTACTAGTTTTATTCACCATGGCCTTGTATTTTTGTTTTAGCCCAAGTGTACTGGTAATGTGGGCATAGATTAGATGACATTCTGGAATTTTGTTCCTGTTTTTCTCTTGTCTCAGGAATCTCCATGTTGGATGACCACCAAAAGCTGCATCTGAGTTTGTATATAAATCTGCATTCCCCAGTAGTCTTTTTTTCCCCCTGGCCTAGCTTGTCTCATGCAAATTGCCCATTTCCTGTCTGGTCACGTCCCTTGTTGTACAAAGGCCTGCTTGGTTTACTGTTTCTTCTTGGCCAAAGAAAACAATAGTCTAATTACTGGACTGTTTCTTCTCACTAAATAGTTCATAGCTTTCCCCATATGTGAGCCCTGGCAGACCTACTCTGCTGACAGTTATGTACTCCATTGCCTTAGGTCATTCTGTGATACCTACCTAAATGTGAAAAGTAAGATCTGTCTCTAAGAAATTAACAGCACAATCCTATAAGGGCTACTCAGAATTAACCCCTATTGAGTTCAAATGGGCTTATTCCCAGGTAAGTGATGATAGGATTGCAGTCTAAGTTTGAAAATTACTTGATCCTGGCAACCTCAGTTAAGAAAGATTAGGATTGGCTGGTTCAATTGTGATGTCACTTAGTCCCTGCAAGGAGTTGTTTTAAAATAGGAATCATTTCCAAAAGAGTAGTTGTGTTACTCTGTTGCAGCAAAAACTACTGAGAGTCTCATGGCCCCTTAAAGCGGTAGAACCTGTGGTCTTCCAGATGTTGGGCTCCCACCTGCCTTATACGAAGGCTGCTCTTGCCAATTTGGAG